CAGAGGGAAATCCACACGGCCGTGCGACCCTGGCCGTGTGGGATGGCTGAAGTGCAACTTAATTGATACGCGCGTTTTGACTCACACGGGCAACTGGGTGAGCCACACGGCCGTGTGGCCTGCCCGTGTGAGTCGGGAAATCTTGGTTTTTCAGCCAATTTCGAGCCAAAAGTGGGAGAATCGGATTTTCAGAGCAAAAACAGAGCCCTAGAGAGAGAAAGTGCGAAGAACACATCCTAGAAGCTATCTTGGAGCTGGGTTTCGTCAAATCGAGCTTGGAGATCGTCATAGGAGTGGAAATCATCATCCCAAGCATTTTCCTCATCATTATGAGTATGACTACTCCGATTGCTGTTTTCTTCTCTCTCTCTATGGAGTAGAACCCTTCTCTCACTTGGGTATGAAGAACCCTAGTTCCATGTGTTAGAGATTTGATTGTAATGACTTGGAATGATTATACTGTTTGGTTTTAATCGAATGACGCATGTTTATTGAATTGATTGAAGTCTGATCAGCTTTTCTCGATTTCTGCTGCAACCTGAGATAGATAGAATCTGATTAGGTTGTTAGAGCCTCTTCATTCGATAGTAGGAGATTGGTTATACGAGAGTTAGCCAGTTTACTGCTTTGTACTGGAATTCAATTCCAGTAGTGGAGTTCTGTGCTTATTGCTTCAGCTTTCTATCCCGGTGAAGACTAGTCGTCTGCCGGTAGTTAGACTGAGAGGGCTTGGTCAGCTTAAGAGATTCCAAGCTACTGTTGGATCTTCCGCAGTCTAATCAACAGTAATCAACCCAGGTAATTACAATTGAACCTAACTAAGGCTAGGGGACTCATTCCCGAGTGACTCTTTCCTGCTTGAGAAAACCGAATAATTTCCTGCTTTTTCTTATTGCTTTTGCTTTAAACAACAATCAATCGAATTAGTTGGCTAGATAATAGATAATCACAGAGTAAGCAGTAGATCTAGACCCCGGGTTGATAATAGAACTTGCCTGTTACTGCATTCCCGGTCTGCGATTACACTTGGTCGCAGTTTGGTGTTGTGTTTTGGCGTGTCAGAATTCCCTACGTTGCAGCGATGTTAGTGTGTATAAGGCTTGTGGCATCTTAAACTTATCACCAACAGAATTAAATATAATTCCTTCCTAATGCCCATTTGTTTTAAATCCATGCGAGCATTTGGCGTATCCTTTGTTTTCCCATCAATGCTCATCATCGTCCCGATACATTGTCACTAATGTTCTTCTCCACATGCATGACATCTATGTTATGCCGCAAGTCAATAAACTTCCAGTATGGCAAAGTCCAAAACGAAGATCTTGTTTACCAATTGAACTTGTCCTCCGCAGCACTCCTTTTCCATTTCCCACCATCATGAACAGAAACATCCCCACTGAACGCAGCTTCAACCTGTTGCAGTATCTCTTCCCCTTATAATTGATTAGGTTTGTTTCTGTGTTCTGGCTTCCCATTAAACTTCTTACTCCTCCTCCAATGATGATCTTTGTCCAGCCACCTTCGATGCCCCATGTAGCACTCCTTGCTTCCATATTCCAAACGTTGAGATTAAGTCTCAATGTTGCACACTGGGCAGGCCAGTTTACCCTAGTGCTCCACCCAGAAGCATGACATATGCAGGGAAATCATTGATGGTCCACAGCAATGCAGCATGCAATTGAAAAGATTCATTTGCATGAGCATCATATGTAGAACCCCATCATGCCACAACTCATTCAACTATTCTATAACGGGTTTCTAGAAGACATGAATGTTATTCCTGGGGTATTCGGGACCAGGAATCAGGATACTGAGGAAAAAAAAGGGTCGGTCATACATAACCAAGGAGGTAAGTTGTACGAGGTTAAGACAACAGCCACGTACTATAGTTGTTGCTCATGTTACCGAATGGGTTAAACCCATCACTAAGAAGCGCTAGTCTGACATTCCTGGGATCCGCAGCAAACCAAGGGTGATCTCGATCAAAATCCTTCCACGTTTTACCATCAGCTGGATGCCTAAGCATATCATCATCAACACGTTTTACAATTTCTCTATACATTTATATGAACAATTTCACTTGTTTTTAAAAATTAAAACTATTTTTAAACTTTTCTCTCCAAATTTTTGGGTTCCCCCAATACTACTGCCCAAAATTTGATTCCCCCCACCCGCCGAGACCCGCCAATAATTCTCCCTGTAATGTTTCCCCAAAATTTTGTTTCCCTCCACCTTTGAGTCTTTGACTTTGACTAGTGATTCCCTTTTTTTTTACAAGTATTGTGCTAGCTTCATATAGTTACTATTTACGACTTACTAGTAATCACTAAAAAGTAACGCAATGTTCTGGTCCGTAAAACCCCGCAACCCGAACCGTCCGACCCGCAACCCGATTGACCCGCACCCAATTGACTCGTAACCCGATTGACCTGCAACCCAAGTGACCCATAACCCGTAACCCACACCTGATCAACTCGAACTCGCAACCCGATCGACCCGCAACCCGCAACCCAAATGAACCCGCCCGAACCCGCCCGATTGACACCTCTACTCATCACACGTTTGTAGCAAGTTGAGAGATATGGCTGGCGGGGCGGGGCGGGGCGGGCACTAGATGATACGTCATGTTTCCTTTTTGTTCACGCAGGAAGCATGGGGTCATGCATGCGTGTGTCAGTTGGGAAAGAAGATTGAAGAAGAACCATCTCTTCTCTTCTCATCTTTCTTTGCTTGCGATCTTATCTCTTCCAACATTCCTACCGAATTCCCATCCTCGTGGAAGAGGGAAGAAAACAAAAGAAAAACCAAATTTTGTATTTGGATTACAGAACGCATGTGAGAGCTGCAGAGCGTGAATTTAAATGCTAAGCTTCTAGTCGTTGATATCATGATATGTAAGTGTTTGGCTATGATTTTCACATCTATTTTATTTTTATTTTTTCCGTGTCACTAATAAAGAACGTAAAATCTTACTAACGACTATAACAAAAAGTTAGTAGTAAAATATTTTTGTTTAAATTATGTTAACGTGGTTCAATCATTTAATTTCACTAAAACTGCGTACCATATTAAAGTGCAATGATAGTTGTATTGGTTCAATGTATTAGTGCATAGGTAACTTTATCAGTATAATGGTAGTTGTATTAGTGCAATAATATTTTTTTTAATGTAGTGATACCTTTTTTAGGTGGTCAGAGAGAGTCTGTCGGAGAAAATTTGATCAGAAGGGGTCTACCGACGGGAGTATGACCGAAAGGAGTCTATTGAGAGAAGGCAACAAAGTTGTTGAGAAAGAAACGGTGGGAAATAGAGAGAGAAATGTAATTAATATGCTTATTTTTTAAAAAAAACAAATATAATTAATATGAATTTTTAGTTCTGAAAAATTATTTAATGCTGCAAAAATTTAATACTAAAAACAGTTATAATTAATAGTAGCGTTATTTTTCCAATTAGTGAAGCTAACTCATTCCTTTTATTCATTTTACTTTGCTTGATGATACTCACTGTTCCCAATTATTGCTTCTGCAGATTGGGCTCATCATTGCCTTCTTGTGCCACAAATGATCTCAACCCTCATCATTACCATCCATATCCATCATAATGAATGTATTTTGAGCCCTTCCAAAACATTATTTTTTATAGAAGTTGTAAGAGTTATTATTAAAATAATGTGTTTTGTAATAAAATGTCCAGAAATGAAATGTAACAAAAAGTCTGTGTACGGATATATTAAACAACTATTTCTTCTCTTTTCATCCATACTTTTATCTTAGCTACTAAGTTATCTTGCTAATTCTCTGCAAAATTAATAAATATCATACATATAACTAGCCCTTAAAACCTACTATTTATCGAGAGCAAGCTACCTAGACATCTTCTTATGAAAATATGAAAGGAATGGGACAATAACTGTTTTGCTATAGTGTGAATGTGTGGTAGGTGTATGACCTTTTAGGTACATTTTAAACATCTATTACCAATTTGTTCCTGGGACAAACCTTTGTGGCGATCATTTTGATCAATTACTCATTGAACTGAGTCTAGAGTTGTTCATTTAATTTGTTCTTCAAAATTGTCCAAGATATAAACTTGAAGAATGTACGTATGCTCTGTTTTTAATGAATACAATCGTTAATCCTTCTAATACTAAGTAAATTGTTAACTTTTGCAAAATGTGTTTTCTTAGGGCCTCTTAATAGTCGATTATTTACTTTAATTTAATCTCATCCTACAACTCACTCTCATATATTCTGAATCGCTATTCGTCGCCCTAAAATTAATAGTGAATAATTTTTCGAGTATCAAATCTCTCATATATTCTGAATCGCTATTCGTCGCCCTAAAATTTAAATTTATTCGCCCTAAATCATACCGAACGGACAATTTTATCGCTGGTTTTAATAGTAACAAAAATAGAATGCCCTCCCCCAATCACATCCCTCGCCACTGGCCTCCGCTCCGCCGTCGGAATCCAAAAGGGCAACGTCGTGCTTCTCCTGTCCCCGAACTCGATCCTATACCCAACTATCTGCATCGCCATCATGTCCATCGACACGATTCTCACTCCTGCCAATCCCATTAACACAAGCTCCGAAATTGCCAAACAGCCCAACGATTACAGGGCTAAACTCATCGTCGCAGCTCCCGAGCAGCTCCAGAAGCTGAAATTGATCGGAGGAATTCCATCGTCACAATGCTGTGACGGTGAGGGACGTCGAGGAGAAAACCAAGCTTAATCATGTCCTCTGGGTATAATTAGGAGATCAGATTTGAAATGGTAATTGGGTTGAAGGACGAGGACAAAATCAAGCTTAATGATGTCCTCTGGGTATAATTAGGAGTTGATAATTAGGCAGAGGTGGCAGGTGGAAGAGGAAGAGGATGTGGACGTCGCCGATTGCTTCTTCCTCACCTTCCTCCGCAGAGGTCGGCGACGAGAGAGGAGTTGGGACTTGGGAGGTGATGTTGTCGGTGGTTGGATTGAGAACAAAGGATGGTAATTGGTTTAAGGATAAATGTGTAATTTCATGTGTTTAGGGCGATAAATTCAAATTTTTAGGACGACGAATAGCCATGTCCATATATTTACCACGACAAATGGAGAGACGAGAGGGCAAAATTGATCACACCCCTCATTTTTTTAATACCTTTTTCTCAATTTGTCATCATTTCATTTGAATCCCTCCCCCAACTTATGCACATTCTGCTGAACAGGCGGACGAGGATTCCGAATTCTGCAGCGGAATCTCACCACCACCACCACTCCCTAATCCCATCTCCTCGGCTCTATAAGTAGAATGCACACCATACATGAGATAGAAGAGAGTAATCAAACACCCCCAAACCGCAAACCTCTTGAAAGAAACCAGCTTCAATGTCGACATGAGGAACACGTTGAGGAAGATGGAGATGGCGGGCGGCCAAGGCATGAAGGGCACGAGCCAGCAGCCGTCGTCGGGCTGGTAAACGTATGGCACCACCACCAGCTGCTGGTAGAACCCCGTGGTGGCGATCATGGCCCCTCCAAACACCGGGACCCCCCACCACTCGGCGTCGAGCTTCCACGAGGCTGAGAGGCCTACGGACGTGGCGGTGAGGAGGAAGAGGAAGAGGAAGGTGTTGGGAAGTGGGTTTCCCCCGAGGATCACGTACCGTCGGTAGATCAAGGCGTTGGCGACGAGGTAGAACACCACGAGCGTGCTGAGAGAGATCATTTCGAACACTATGCTGAGGTCTGTGAACAGAGCGATCGATGCCGTGCAGAGCCCTGCGTATGTCACATGAGCGAGAGTGAGTTTAAATGCAGCAGTAGCACGTACAAAAAAAAAATTCGTATCGGACATAAACGTTACCTAAGAAGAGGGTAGCATTGAGAGGAGTGCCGGTGTTGGGGTTGACCTTAGCCAGCCAAGATGGGACTAGCCTGGCCCTCCCAATGACACAAAGGTACCTAGCTTAGCCAAGCATGGCAACAAGTAGAGAGGCAGTTATCCCCAAGCTCGCACCACCTCCAACCACATTGCTTGCCCACCCCCACCCTATCTGTTGGAATGCTGCCGAGAATGATGCTTCCATTGGTATCTACCATATCATGGAAATTCAAAATTGATCAATGTCGTCAATTCAGCAATGTTGCGACCAAAGGTGAAATCTCCGCGCAGCAAATAGACATAAGAGACTGTGGCGCGAGAGAAAAGAGGAGACTCGTTGATAGATATTTATACCACAATTAATAAAACGCGAGATTTTATCTTTATTAACGAATCAAGCAACGTTTTTTAGTTGAAATTAAATGACAAAGTATAGCACGGAAAGTTAGGGCTTACCATATTGAAAGGCACCATGACACAAAGAGCCAGAGCCATGAAGCAATAGAGAACGCATACAATGAGAACAGAGCCCACGATCCCTAGGGGCAGAGCTTTTGCAGGGTTCTGAATCTCTTCGGCCATGGTGGAAACCGAATCGTAGCCGATGTAGCTGAAGTAGACGATGGCCGCGCCATCTACCACGCCTTTCACACCAAAGGGAGCCATCCCACTGGGCTTCACCAGGTTCTTGACACTCCCGTTGTAAAAACCAGCCACTATGATGAACCCGAAGAACATCACATGGAATACCGTCATCACAAGGTTCAACATAGAGCTCTCCTTTGTACTGCAAAAATGAATTGTACGTAAGAATGTGTGTAAAATAGAACAGATCATAGAAAGTCATCAGTAGTAGATCGGCTCAAACACGTAATTAAAGTAAATGGGCTATTAATTTGAATTAAACAGATTCTCAAAATTTAGGATATGAACTTTAGAATTCGGGCCTCGAGTTGAGATAGGACTTGATAAAAAAACAAAAGAAAAATGAGAATCGAAACTGGATTAAAACAATGTTTGGTTCATTTGATTTGATTCTGTCTTAACCAAACTTCATTTTCAGTTTATTTTTTCTTTATATTTAAAATAATTGATAAGATCAAAACCGAGTCTAAATATATTCGATCCAAATATCAATTTGCCATGAAAATCGAGTCTATTCCCCACCCCCAACATACAAAGCTTCTACTGGTTTGGTGTATTTGACTCAAAAGGATTTATCCAAAGATTCCAATTTCCAAACAACCCCTAAGACATCTGGGCCCAAAACCAAGAAAACAGTTATGGTCACAGTCACAGAGAAGGACATTGGATGCATCAGTTAGAGCAATTATTATGAAATCCAAAATAGCTAAAAAATACAAATATCTATTCTATTTTTTAAATAAGTTTAAAAAAAAGCTGCTTAGAATAGAACACACAAATAATTCTAGTTTTTATTATGTTTTATTTTATAATAAATCAAAAATAGAGGAAAAGCAATCACTAGGACTGAGAAAGTAGATCAGACCGTTTGAAAAATCATGTTCCAAACCAGACCGCACAGTTTGGTCCGGACGTAGACCGTTAAATATGGTCTAATCTGGTCCATGGTCTGTATTATATGATGTTTTGATTTTTTGGTCTGATCTGATCTAGCCTGGTATAGAAATCACCACTGGCCTTTGTCAAATAAATATACTTCGGTTCTTTTCATTGGACAAATTTTTTTGGCACCACCACCAAGATTACCATTGTAATTAAATTATATATTTAATTGGTTTTGTGAAAGAAATTATTAGACTTGTTGATTAGTAGTTGATTGTATTTTTTGTTTTATATTTGAGTATCTTAGAATATCCATTTTGTTGTAATCAGGATTTCCATGCATCTTGCATGTTTTTTTTGGAAATAAGAAGAGTGTAAGTAATTAAAAAAAAAACACCAGAAACTATAAAAAGTCTTTCCCTTTTAGCTCACTTGCATACTTAAGGAACCCTATAATCACTAGGTAACAAAAAAAAAAATGTTATCCGAGGTTAACCCCTAAAACCTAGTAAAACCATGCATAAAAAAGGCCATTTTATTTTTAGCCGGCTCAAATGATATAGAAAGTCATTTTATTTTTACGTTTGTGCAAATAAAAAAAAAAAAAGCCATTTTACGTGTGTAGATCATATAATATGTGTCGTTATGTTCATTTTCAAGACTCGGACCCAACAACTGTTGATTCAAATCATAAACAAAAGTCCATGATCTCCAAATCATTGACATCACCATTTCACTTTTACGATTGAAACACGAAGAGGAAGAAGAGGAGAAAGAAAAGAAAAGGAACCAACCAACCTATGGCAAAGGCAGAGAGTGAGTAGTAGGATGAGAGCAACAGCTGGGAAATCCAGGTTGTTGTAACCGGGCAGCAACCCGTCCACATTAACCCTCCACTGGTTCGAGTCATTTACCCCAACGGCACGGCAAAGGTAATCAGTAAAACTCCTAGCAACTCCAGCATTTGATAACACATACTCCATCAGTATATTTGCCCCCGCAAAGTACCCTATGAATTCCCCTGTTTTTTTTACATGACAACAACAAAAAGTTACCCAATCAGAAATGCCAAAGCCAAACTACATTACCGAAAAGCCACCGAATTTTGACAAATCATGTTTGTGCGCAAGAACCATGACATCATGTCTTGATGTTGTTAGATTGTTCTTTCACGTGTTTTTCTCGACGGTTGAAATGAGTGCATGCACGCTTATTCCAGCAAAACAGGAGGTGGATACTGGATAGAAAGAGTTTGCTTTTTTTTTTACCGTGATTTTAGGTGAAAAGAGTTTAAATGGTGAAAAATAGAATAATAAAGAGTTATCTTGCTCTTTGAGATGGAGTGACAAAAAAGAATTAGCAATTCACCGTACCGAAAGTGACGCGGAGGTAACTGAAGGCGCCGCCGGCGACGGGGATTTGGACGGAGAATTCGGCGTAACAGAGCGAGGAGAGCAGCGCGGAAATGCCGGCGACGATGTAAGACATGAACACCGCCGGGCCGGAGTACGTCCCGGCGACGTACCCGGTGGTGACGAACACGCCGACGCCGAGCATTCCGCCGATCCCGAGCGCCATCAGGTCGTACCACTGGAGCTTCCGCTTCATGTCGGCGCCGGACCGAAGCCGGACTTGCGTCAGCTCCTGCTCCGGCGTCCACGTGGCGAGCACCCTCTTCCGCAGCCGGTGCGGCGTCTCCGTCGCCAGGGAGTGGAAGTAATTGGACGCGCCGCTAATCACCCTTTTCACCACTCCCATCGCCCCGCCGTCAGCCGCCATAGCAGGAAATGGTGGATAAAGCTGACTGATTTTATGAGAAATTTCGATTGGGAAGAAGAAGAAGGAACAGAGGATTAGGATTCTGATTGTTTGCTTTTCTTCTTCTTTTTCCTTCTTTTACTTGTTTGTTTGGCTTTTTGTTTTTTTTTTTTGTTTTTTTTTTTTTGACAATAATTCAACTTTTATTCCACCATTGAAGGAAACATGTGAAAACCGATTACACATTTAAAGGAGATCAGAAATTAGGTCAAGAATACTAATCCAGTCTTCTGGCAGATTAGATCTAGCTTTGGATCTTGCCACCCAGTCAGCCCTAACGTTCAACGACCTTGGAACCTCAATAACCGAAATTGAAGGGTTATTCCTAAGGATATTAATCATTGTTCTAATCCAGGCTGCACATCTCCAGGGCCATCGAGTCTGATTATGGTTCAGGGCCTTCACCAAAACTTGACAGTCCGATTGAACTGAACAGACCGATCCGTATTCTTGTGCTAATTTAATACCTTCCAAAAGTGCCTTCGCTTCTGCTTCAATCGGGGTGGAACAAAGAAGAGACTCAGCTCTCCCATCACACACTTGTCCATGGTGGTTAACAACAACAACAACACCATAAGCCGCTGACTGGGGGTCGCTAAAGAACGACCCATCACATTGAATCACCATAGAGTGATTACTTGGCGGTGGATTCGTAGTGAGAAGGGTTCCCCTGAGCTGAGTGGGACCATCATTCGAAAGAGGCGGGGTCCTCAGGAAAGCCATCCATTCCGTTAGCTCTCTATAGGCTTGAAGACAAACATTTGGGGGCCAGGGAACTCGATTCTTGAAAGTACTCTCGTTTCTTGCCTTCCAAATGTTCCAACAAAGATAGATAATGTGAATCAGGGAGTTGTTAGGGATGTTATCTTTGAGGGAGCAGAACCAGTCAAAAAAAGAGGTACCCTGAGGGGGTATTGGGATGGAGGGAAAAATAGAGTTCCATGACTCTCTGGCATGGGGGCAATAGAAGATGCAGTGGTTAAGGGACTCCACCGGGTCTTGACAGACCTGGCACATCGGGTTAGGAGCACATTTCCGTTGGAACAGCCTAGCTTTCGTTGCCAACCCATTTCTGGAACATCTCCAAATGAAGAACTTTAGCTTGGGTGGAATACTCAATCCCCAGATCCATTTCCATCTCTCTTCATTTCCCGTCGGATGGAAATTGGTGTTAGCTTTATGAACAGCGTGGTATGCCGTCTTGACCGAGAAGTCTCCCTCTCTAGTGAGGCTCCAAGCCCAAAAATCCTCAGAACCTTCATCCCCTATAGGAATTTTCAGGATAGCCTCCATTTCTGCCCTTGACACATGACCTTGAATCAAATCCGTGTTCCATCTTCTACTGTCAGGGTCTATCCAGTCCTTGACCCTTAGGTTTTGTTGTGGGCCACTTCTGATGACAAAATTCTGCAGACTCGGAATCCATGGATCCTGACCAACCCATGTATCCTCTCCTGATCCGACGATTTTAACTGCCCCCATGTTGATCACTTTTTTTGCCTCCCAAAGGCTCGCCCAGATCCAAGAGGATCTACTCCCTTTCTTGGAATGAAGGAAATCAACTCTCGGGAAGTACAACCCTTTCAGAAGACGGCACCAAAGGGCATCAGTTGTATTGAGGAGTCTCCACGCCTGCTTTGCCAACAAGGCCATGTTGAAGTCCTTGAAACTTCGGAATCCCAATCCCCCATCAGATTTCGGAGCGCAGAGAATTTCCTTCCTACACCAGTGCATCGTACTTTTCTGCATAGATCCTGACCAGAAGAAATTGGTGAGGAGGGAGTCCATCTTCTTTGTGAGGCTCACCGGAAGATGGAAGAGGTACATGATGTAGGATGGAATAGCTTGTATGACTGCTTTGAGCAAGACCTCTTTCCCTCCATGAGAGAGGAGGAGACTCTTCCATGCTTCCCCCATCTTCTCCATTCTTTGAATGAGGAATTGGAAGGTTTCCTTTTTTGAATTCCCCCACTCTGTCGGTACTCCTAAGTACTTTGAGTGACAATTTGAGGTTGCAAATCCAATGTGGGCAATGATCGCAGCTTTCTCACCATCAGCAACATTGGCGCTGAAAAAAACTGAGGATTTGTTGATATTCACTTCTTGACCCGTGATGGCTCCATAGTCTCTGATGAGGTCAAGGATTTTCTCTGCCTCTTGGTGGTCAGCCTTTCCAAAGATGACGGTATCATCTGCAAACAGACAGTGGGTGAGGATTATAAATGCGAGGGAAAAAGAGAAGTTTCAGTTACAAAAAATGAAAAATTAAAAATGAAAAGAGGCAAGAAAAGCACTGCAGTGGCAAGCAATCCATTAATGGGAAAAAATCCAAACCTATTGTTTTAAAAAAATTACAAAACTACCGTCGTATCCAAGAAATTCCAAATCTACCACCCTTGATTAAAAACAGCTCCACGCAAGGGCGGTTAAAACAAAAACCGCCCAGGAAGGCGGCGGTTTACCATGGAACCGCCTGTCAGACGAGCGGTTTGTGTTTTTCGGGAAATGCTTTTCGAATGAGCGGTTTCCATGGCTTCCGTAGAACAAACCGCGTCCTTTGGGAGCGGTTATGTGTAGGCAACATAAAATGCTCCACAAGAAAGCGGTTTTGCTATGTCGATGTACAAACCGCCCCTCCCCCAGCGGTTTGTGCCTCGTCACCCGAAATCCGACATGTTGGCATGCAGGAGGTTGCAGGGGGTAGGGGCTGCATGCACTACAACAAATTTGGTCTATTATGACGAGGCAATTTTGTCATATTAGATGCCCATTTTGTCATATTATGTATAATACGACAAAAGATGTTGTCACAAAGGTTTGTCATTTTATCGCCGTTAGGATAGGTCAAATGTGACAAAAATTGAAAATAATGTTGTCACATTTGCTGTCAATATAACTGAGGTTTTCGGTAGTATATTATGACAAACAGAGATGTTATGACGACATATTTTGTCATTACGGTCGTCATAAAAGGTAACTAGGTTCAGCGACCGAGACTTTTTTTGGAGTAATTTATATTTTTTTCCTTTCAATTTATTTTTTCGGATTTCATTTTAGTATATTTCAGAATTAATTTTCTTGAAGACTTTTTTAGCTATTCGCAATTTATTTTTTGGTCCAGATCTTAAACATCACCTCTTCAAAACCAAAATTTTGCATTCGGCCAAGATTTACTAAACTACCAATCCCCAATTTTATATTCACATCCAAACTCTAGATTGGCCATTTCAAAACCCTAATCCTAATAATCAGTTTGAAGAATAGTACCCAAGGCTTCTTCAATCCAAAACCTAGCAAAAAAAAAAAAAAGTCAGAATCAGTAAACAAAATAAAATAGAAGAGAACCGTGAGCATATTGAAAGGAGAGACGTGGAATTGGAATGAAATAGAAGAGAAGAGAAGTAGATTGACTATTATAACCGATACAGAGAGGAAGATCAAATCTGTGTTTTGATTTTTCGGTGAGAAACGAGAGGAGAAGGGGTCTGCAAGCGGCTAGGGTTTCTAGCCAATCGTCGCCATCGTCGCCTGTCGATCTCTCCGCCCGTCGCCTCTCGATCTCTCCGCCCCTTGCCTTTCGATCTCTCTGCCATCGTCGCCGGATCTCGCCAATCGTTGCCCTATCAATCTCTCCACCAGCGTTGCTGGTCATAGCCAGAGGAGGCTTCTACCGACGGTTTTTTTGAGAGAGGAAGGAAGAGATGAAGACTTCGTTTTCTTTGAGAGTAGAGGAGAAGGTGAAGGGTCGTTTTTCGGAGAGAACGAAGAAGGGAGAAAAGAAGGAAAGTTGAAAAGCGGGTAGAGGGGGGTTAACATTTCATCATAATAAAGATAATTAAGAAAATATGTATCCTTTATCTTTCCTCTTTTTCAATTTTTTTTTTGTCTCCCACGATTTATAACTTTTATTTACAACTGCATTTACCTAATATAATAATAATAAAAAAAATATGGGTCTTTTGATTATGCCTTATTTTATTATCATTATTATTATTTTTTATATTCCCTTCAATGGTTTTCCCCCAAATGAGTTTAATTATGCCTTATTTAATTATTCTTTCTACTTTTTTCTTCTCCTGACCAATTTTCTTTCCTTAAATATGGGTCTTTTTATTATTAAAAATGAAAATTTTGTTCATCTTCTATTATTGTGTCTAATATAATTGAGTTTCTCAAATCATATGCCTCTACTTTTCTATCGAATATAATGGGATTTCTCAAACTGTACACCAGTCATCACTATATATATATGGTTCATGCTAGCGTACGTCAGTCGTACTTTGTACGCCCGTTGAGTTTTACTATTTAGAGCAATTAATCGAAATTTTAAACATTATACTATACCCTAACCTCTAATGGGTGAACCCCAGTCCCTAATTCTGTAACCCAAGCCACAAGATTAATTTATCCTAAAAAATAATAACCGATGATTTTGATTCGACGAAATATATTGAAGTGTAAAAGCCAAGTGTGAACACTGGCGTACAGCGTACGACTGACGTATGCTAGCATTTGCCATATATATTATTAAGCATAATTGTATCTACAGGACACATTAGATGTCACAATGTCTACAAAATGAAATTGCACTATGATTTATTAAAACATATAAAATTTATTGTTTAATAATATTTCATGTTTTGAAAATGAGTAACATATCAATAGAACTAACTTATCGATTATGAATATGTATAATGAATTGAAAGCACGACATCTCAATTCTTAATATTACAAATTATATTGAATAAAGAGTTTATCTACCTTGGTGAATATTATAAGACAAAAAAATGCTAAAAATATTACAAAAATCAAAATTAGGAAATATTTAAATTTATATATGCATGATGGCAATAAAAAAACATTTACCTGCCCAAAGGGCAGGGTTCATGCTAGTTTTAGGGTAAGGGGAATTTTTTTTTATGGTGAGAAGGAGAAATTTTCAAATTTCTAGGGTCAAGTATTTGGCGGAATAGGAAATTTTTTAGCCATAAATTTTGTTGAAAATTCAAAATCACTAAAATTGTGTCGGTTAGACTAAAAATTGGGGTCTACAAATTGGG